GGGTTGTCGTGGTGAGGTTTCAATCATGGCGTATGTTGACAAAGAAAACTTTGGGGATGATGAGTTGGTCCATGCCTATAAGAATGTCAAAAAGGAACGGATTTTTTTTGGTATATATTACTAGCTGATTGATCTAATAAGTACTCATGTTCTGATTGGTATGCGTTCCTGTTTTGTCTTTTCAGCGGAATCGGTAATCCTCTTCTGGTTGGTAGATAATTACCCATCCAATCCTAGAGATATTTGGTTTAAGTTCACATCAACTCTTAGGGAGAAGGGTTTTGATAACTTTGAGTCAGTGAGAGCTTATCTTGATAAGAAAAAGATGTCGGATGAACTGCTGGATGTCTATTACAAGTCAGGAATGTCGGTGATACACGTGCCTGAAGAGGATGCATTTGGGAAAATCACTAGAATGTCACTGGACTTGATTCAGTGTACACAATGGTTTCGCAGACCATTGAATTTTCTGGTAATCTCGAAACCCTTCACAGACCCCATGTGCAACATTGTTCTTGACAGTTTGAAACTCAAAGGTTGCAATGTTCTCTTCGAAGAGCCTGAGTATATGGTCTCATTTGGAACCTCGCTATGGTCTGCAAAAGATCTTTTAGGAAATGGTGGAAGTTGAACAATCTTGCTTTTGTTTTGATGATTTCCCTTTATTGCTAAAAACCAGTATAGAAAACGTGTATAGTCATTTCATTTTATTTTTGGTGAACTCTGTAAATGGGATTCAAATGATTGGCTGTTTTATCCTATCTTCCATCAATGCTTAACATTATGATGTGAAAATCTCTTAGTTACATATGAACCCATTCACTATGACAAAGTCTTGTGAGAGAGTACAAATTTGATGTTATCCTCTGCTAAGGATCGTTCTACTTCTCTTACTGAGTTCACAGAATCTCTAGGACAGTTGATATGTTTGGTTTGTTTCCATGGTGTTTATTGAGTTGCTAATTCACATATATACCAAATTAAAAAAAAAAATTAAAACAGTACTGTTGAAGGTAATCGATACTGGATGAATCTTTATCTTTTCTATTTTTGTTGAACTGTTTCTTTTGGACCTATGTGAGATCCTTTGCAGATTTTATTCTAAAACGGCTCCAAACGGTTGAAATTTAGAACTGAAGAATTCCCTAACTTTTTGTTCTTTAATTTGAAATTATTCGTGTTGATATATAGAGACTTTAAGGTCTTTTCTTGATTCATCAAGTTCTTTTTCCTTTTCTTAGCATCATTTTTTTCTATAGTTCAAATGAAATTCCTCTTTTATTTGTCTTGATTCCCTTCGGTTTCTTTTTTTTTTTTAAATTAATTATTGGAGGGATAGTAACTAGACTGGACCTGGAAGAAAGTTCCATATATATTAAAGTGGCTCATAGTCTGAGGATAATTTTTTTAAATGTTCTTTGGAATCTTCGTTTTCATTTCTTTATTACTTTGTTTCTTGTCTGTGCTCGTTCAAATCGAGTCCAATACATTACAAAACTGCTTTTGGGACTTTGTGCTGCCTTTTTTTTTTGCTGTTATTTTCAGTTTTCTTTGTCAGAATTACAATATCTATGCAAATGTAAGAGTTTTTTAAATTCTAAAATACTTATCGCAGCTTCACTAGCTATTTTTATTTTGTTTAACCAGACATGTTGTCTTGATTAAATACAATGTTTCTTTTCCTTACAATATGAAGAAATTTTTTTTATCACATGTCTAAGATGTCTTTGCCTCGTTTTTACCTTACTGTAATTAAAATAAGCAAACTTAAAAGTAAAACGAAGGTACATATATGCATGCACTTGGTGGTATACGATCAAGATGATGATAAAAGCATGCATGCATATATAGCTGTGGAGATTCTCATTAGGACTAATATTAGAAAGTAGAATATAGTTTATTTGTTAGCTTTTGCTATGTTCGTTATCCTTTTTGAAGTGCAATAATGCATAAATTAGTTATAGCCAGCTTGGAGATTGAAAACTGACTCTTAAATTTCCCCACTTGATCATAACTATGTGATATCAAATCATTTCATTATGACGATCCAACTCTTGACACCTACCCTTGTCACTTGTCAGTAACTCTGCTTTATTTTGGTCGCTTGTTTTGCTTGAAAAGGTCAAAAAGTTTTACTCATTTGGATATTGATTAGTAATTACAAAAAAAAAAGACTTTTCATTTTGATATTCCTAAATGTTTTCCTCTTCTTTCATCATTCACTTGCTCTGGAGATGAAGTAAAATACCTTGATACTTAACCAATTCCCTAGCGAAATATCTATCCTTTGTTTATTACTAGTATGGTCTATAATGTAAACTCTCAAGCTTTTTGTTGAATTAGAGATTACTTATATTGACTATTTTGATAGAATATATATATCCATGTTACGTACCAAACAAATGGATATTCCAAAAGGTGAACGAGTGCTCCAGAGTGAAGGTCCAAGTGGCTCGTGTTTGTTCATGTACTTTGCTTTCATGAACTGTTCTCATAAATATTCTCTTTTGTTGGTTCCCTTTTCCTTTCTTTATCGGAAACATGTTACGTTGTTTATATGCCACGCCTTATTTGAATTAAAGGCTTACCAAAACATTAAACATCCATACCCGACTTTTGCTAAAGCTTCCCTAATGTCACTTTCCGGCGACTTTTCTTTTTTTTCTTTGTTGAACCAAAACTAAATGAATATTATACCTAGCATGTCGACTTTTTGTTCTTTTTTCTAGATAATGTTCTCTATGGACTATGGTCTGTAAATTAATTTACAAATTTATAATCTACTACATATTATTTGAGAAGTAACATTATTGAAAATAGCTGATTTGTCAACACTAGAGCCAAAGTTAGTGATTTTAATTGATGACATATAAATATGACATGTCAAACTTCCTAAAATAAACGAAATATTTTGATTGGTTGAATTAAAATTATAAAAATTGTAGAATTAAAACATAATTAAACTAGATTATATTTATAATATTAAAATTAACAAATTTAAATTAACAGAAAATAAAAGTTATTATATTTTAAATTTTTACATATATTCGTAATTTCATAAGATATAATTACAAATTTTTTTTAACAATATATATATATATTATAATTTCATATAAAACGAAAAAATAATACTAAATTATCCAATAGAATAATAAAAATTCTATTTATTAATAATACTTGAAGTATGATATATTTTTATTTTGGAAAGTTCTTAATTTACAAAATATATTAATAACATCTAAACAAGTTTTAAATAAACAAATTACTAAATAGTAAAATTTTAAATAAAATACAATCATGATAAAAATAATTTAAAGAATAAAATGTTAAAAATAATAAAAATAATCAACTTTTATTGATTGTGTTTTAAAAAATCATAATTTTAAATAATTTTTCTTTTCAAACCAATATTTACTAAATGAATAAAGTATATACTAATTATTATTTTATAATATTAATAGGACCATATATTTTTCTATAACTTTTATCATCTTTTTATTGTTGTTTTATAAAATGTACATAACTTATGTTACCATCTCATCTTATCTCTTATCATATTTTAAATAAAAATAAATTTTATATCATATGTATATATATATATATATACATAATTTGTTTTCATTGTATATCAAAATTTTGAGAACATATATAAAATAAAAAATTACCGAACGAAAGAATAAATTATAATAAAATGAAACAATATGAATAACAAATAAAAATAGAAGTATATAAAAATAAATCTTTTTAACACCTAAGAACCATATTTCAATTTTTTACAAATACGCGTACATACATAAATATTAATTGTATATTAGTTGAAGTCACATGCAAACTTTCCGTGCATGTATTTTGTTAAAATTGATTACAGACTAATTTTTATTTTAATTATTATATAACTTATATTTTTAAAAAAATATTTATATATTCTAAGTGTAGTGAAGTGGTTGGTGCGTGCCAACCATCTATCCGCTCTTAAGAATAAGTAAAAATGGTACAAACTATTTCAGTTTAATTTGTAATAAATCAAGATAAATATATATTTAAAATATATTATATATGTATTTGTAAATTTATATTATATAAAACGCAAAAAAATATATTGTAGATTGTGTAAGGAGAAATAAAACATATAATAAAAATATTATAAAAATTTAATTATTATTTAATATAACTTTTATATTTGTATTTATATATTATTACAAGCATTATAAAAATAAAGTTCTTAAAAAATTTTGGTTTCAGAAAGAAATTTGTGAAATATTAAAACAATATATATACAAACATACCAATATTTAAAAAAACTAATCAACATTTAAATATTACAGTTAACTATATATATAAAAAAATTATACTCACACATATGTGCAGGCAACCACCTGGTATTCAAATATTTTAAAATACCGCATAGGTAACCTATGGTCTTATCCTATATACTGGACATGTAAAACCATTAGTAATAAATAATTATGGTAAGACTAGAGAGTCACGAGATCGGTAGAAGTTTATTTTGTTTATCCAAAAGATATACAGTATCATGTAACTTGAATTTTTTTTTTTTTATGTCTTCTTTTCAAGTTGTTCTTTTTATATTTATGGCTTTCAACTTGCTTCTTTGTGGTTAAAAGACACATATTGTTCCTAATCTTTATTGTCTTTAATTTTGAAAATGTCACAATTATTTTTAGAATTTATATCCCTTTACTGTGCAGATCTCTGACTCCCATATCTACACGAGACACTAGAAATAGAGAAAAAAAACCTCAGATAAAGACACAGCATAAGACACTTGTAGATATAAAAGACACATACCTAAGAGAAGAGAAGAGAAAAGAGAGAGGGAAAGAGATTAAGACACATACCTAAGAGAAAAGAAGAGCAGAGAAGAGAAGAGAAGAGAAGAGAGAGAGAGAGAGAGAGAGAGAGAGAGAGAGAGTAAACTTCCACATAGAACAATGGAAGCTGAAAAAGAAACAGAGCAAGAAGGAGGAAACTCAACAGCAATGAAACTACCAATGTTACCAATTAAACCCAACAGTCACAGCCACTCTCTTTCATCACCAGTTCACAGTTCCATAGCAGCTTCAGTCCCCTTCAGCTGGGAAGAAGAGCCTGGCAAGCCCAAGCAACACTCTTCTTCCTCCTCCTCCTCCTCACCACTAACTTCTTCTTTTTCATCTTCTCCTGAAACCCACAAATCGTTGGAGCTACCACCAAGGCTACACTCCCTTGAAAAGGATGGAGGATCAATTACCAAACTTCACTCTCCCATCACCGTCTTTGATGGACCTTATAGCATGACGAGATCAAGAAGATTGGATTCACCTTCCTTTAGGATGATGGTGAAGGGTAGTGGTGACTGTTATGGCTCTTTCAGGAGCGACATCTATGGTGATTTAGATGAGGTTGATGAGGAGACCACGAACCAGAACATGAGTAGTGGCTCTTTGGCTCTTGTGAGGAAGAGAGGGAGATTAGGGTTTTTTGGGTTTAGGAGGAAGAGAGCATTGAAGGGAAAAACAGAGTTTGGTAGAGGTAGTTATGTGTTTCCTTCTTCCGTGGACAGAGAGAGTGAATGCGGAAGAAAAGATGAGGAAGAAGGAGAAGACAAAAGCTTTGGCTATGGTGATGGTGATGGTATTAGTTGCAGCCAAAGCAGCAGGTTTAGTGAAGCGAAGGTTACAAACATTAGCAGAACAGGAAGCTTCTCTGCTCTGCCTGCACCACCACCTTCTTCAAAGTCCCACTTCTGGGTAAGTCCTCTGTTTTATGTTCTGCTTCAGTTAGTAGAGAATTTTTCTTTAATCCATTCTTTGAAAAACTTGACTTTTAGAAACCAGGCTCTTTGAAAAGTCGCAGAAATGTTATATAAAAAAACCAATTAATATTCCATAAATTAATAAAATTTTTCGGCCCAATTCAAAATTTAATACAAATAGATAAATTAATAAAATAATATTTATTTTTGAAAATCTATATAAAATATAGTCACATTAGTATCATAAATTAATAAATATCATATAAAATAATTTTATATAAATATATAAGCATGATAATATATTAAAATATGTGTATATTGTTGTTTTCATATTAAAATTAATTTTTATTATTTATTTCTAATTTTATAATAAAATTTATTTATATAAAATTATTTTATATGATATTTATGTTATAAAATATATATGATATAAAATTATTTTATATGATATTTATGATTAAAAAAAACCAACTAGATCTTTTTATTTATTTATAATCAGTGTTATTAGAGATATTCAGAAATGATTTTTAAAAAATCATGGACCAGACGTTATATAACATTATATACCAAACGTGGGTTTAGATTAAGGCAGCATTTAACATTGTTTGTGGTTGGATCAGACGAATGTGTATGCAGGACTAAAGCAAGTGGTTCCATGGAAGAACAAGAAGACTACAGGTTGAGATTTGTGCTCTATCAAATATTTGAAAAATACACACACTCAAAAAAACCATAGAGCCCTCCCTTGTGATTCTACATGTCTCTATGATTTTTTTCAATCTTTCCACGAAAATGACAGTATTATGAAACCAGTGTGAAACCCAACTTTATCACGCTTGTTTCTGTTGTGCTTGTGATGTTTTGAATGTTTTTTTGGAATTTTTGTAAAACGAAACAGAGAATCTTACGATGTATCATGATTATGGGTCCAAGGGATATATAGATGTTCACAACATGCTTGTACTTCTTTGGACAAAAAGCAAGAACCTCTCATGGCTCTTACGTAACCGTATTGATTAGTGTGATTTGCTTCCTTTAAAAAGCTCTTAACTTCAAAGTCTATTACTACAGTAATACTTAGGATATCTCTCGAGACTTCGTAGCTTCAATGGCTTGAAAGTTGAAACATTATCTCAGGTGAAAGTTACGAATCCGTAATGAGAAGAAGACCCATAAACCGAAACAAGAAAGAATCAATTCAAAAATGAAATAAAAATCAATTCCGGTTGAGGAGAAAAAAAGTATATTGACACATGAAAACATAATAGTATTTCTAAAAAATACAGTATAGCCTAATAGCTACGTAGTTGATATTATTAGTATTTCTAAGAAATCCAGTTTTTGTAGATTAATGAAATAAACTTATCGAAAATCTCAGATATGGTACAAGTATGAAAATTCTGCAAAATTAATAAAAGTTCACTTATCGGAGATTTTAAGTGTAATGTACGTAGAATTGTTTGTTGTGGACCTTGTGGTTTAGTATGTTAAGAGTAAAAATTTCCATCGTAAGTATATATAGTGTAAATAGAACCATTTAGTTATTGTGGATGTGAATATATTATATGTTGTTGAATTATCGTGGAACTATTGCAAGAAATTTAAATTTGCTCATCATCATCTACTGACAATATTATTGTGTATGATAAACTAAATTAAATTAAAAATATTTTAGTGATGTGATGTTATGATAATTAAAAAATTAATATTCCACTAAACTTAAATGAATACCGATGTACATTTTCTTTTAAATTAGATTTTATAGTTTTTTTGGGTCAACCAGAAATTTAGATTTAAAGCTAAAATTTAACAACTAATTGAAACCAGATTCTTTGTAAAATCTTATATAAATCTGTAGATGATAAAGTCAACTAGATTTTAACTTACAGATAATCAGTGTTAGTAGATATTCTGAAATGATTCTTGAAAAATCATGATATCCCAAAAGGTGGGTTTAGATTAAGGCAGCATTTAACATTGTTTGTGGTTGGATCAGACGAATGTGTATACAGGACTAGTCCATGGAAAAACAAGAAGACTAGATGTTGAGATTTGTGCTCTATCAAATATTTGAAAAATAAGCATTCACACAAAAAACCAGAAAGCCCTTCTGATACTACATGTCTCTCCAACCTTTTGGTTTATTATGATTTTTTTCAATCTTTCCAAGAAAACGACGTTACCATACAAAAACTAGTGTGAATTCTAGCTTTTTCACGCTTGCTGTTGCTGTTGTGAACGTTTGTGATGTTTTTTTTGAATTTTTGTAAAGTGAAACAGAGAATCTTACGATATATTCACAACATGTTTGGACAAAAAGCAAGAACCTTCGTGGCTTTTATACGTAACCGTATTGATTAGTGATTTGCTTACTTAAAAAGATCTTAACTTCAAAGTGTATCACTACAGTAAAACATAGAATATCTCTCGACGCTTCAAACATTGTCTCAGGTCTTGTCGTCTTGATCAATCAAAGACCATGCATTAAATTAGGGTTTTGAGCAAAGTTACGAACCCTAAATCAGAAGAAGACAAATAAACCGAAGCCAGAAAGAATCAATTCCGGTTAAGGAAAAAAAAAAAAAAAGCATATCAAACATATGAAAACAGAACGGCATGAAAAAAACGGAGAACTGATATTTGCGTTTGTATTATTCATCCAGCTCAGCCACGTGTACTCGGTATCCCAATTGAGAAAGCCTTAAGCAAGCAAGCCACCGCTATTCATAGTTTCATATTTTAGCCCAACCCAAAAAGTTAAACACACTCGGCCCATATTAGCTCTGTATTAATTAATATATTGTAAATTGGTTGTAAATTGTAACAGAGGTAAATTATTCAAAAATATCAATATCGAATAATCAGATAGACGATCATTGTTATGTTGATAACTTATATACAATAATCAGTAAAACTTCTATAAATTAATAATGTTGGGACTGCAAAAATTTATCAATTTATAGAGTTATTAATTAATTGATAAATTAATAATTATTAATTTATCGAGAAATTAATATTTTATTAATTTATAGAAAGATATTTCGGTTCAAATCCAAAATATTTGTTAAAAAAACAAAAAAATGTTTTCAACAATGTAAAATTTATTCAGAAAATATCATATCAGTAAATTTAAAAAATAAGTCAAACAATTTTTATAAACTTGAAACAATAATATAATTATATTTTACTATATTATATTATTTATATATGCTTAAATGTATAATTATTAATTTATACAATTATTGGGACTATATTTTTATATAGGAGTTTCAAAAAAAATATTAACTTATTATCTTATCGAAATTTGCTAATTTTAACACTGGTCCGACTTGGGTTCGGCAAAAATTATTAATTTATGGTGATTATTAATTTATCGAGTAATAATTTATAAAGGTTGTACTATATATTCACAAGAAAATAAAAAAAAAACTCAAAAATTAACATTTTCTTGTGTGTGTTAATACACACAATTTGACAAGAAAATTAAAAAACTCGAAATTTTACATTTTTTGTCTGTGTGTGTTAATACACATGTTTTGACAAGAAAATTAAAAAAACTCAAAAATTTAACATTTTCTTGTGTGTGTGATGGTACACATATATTCATAAGAAAATTAAAAAAACTAAAAAAATTAACATTTTTTTGTGTGTGTTAATACACACATCTTGGCAAGAAAATTAAAAAACTCAAAAATTTAACATTTTGTGAGTGTCTGATAGAACACATATATTGACAAGAAAATTCAAAAGAAAACTCAAAGATTTAACATTTTCTTGTGTGTGTTAATACATACATCTTGGCAAGAAAATTAAAAAACTTAAAATTTTAACATTTTTCTTATGTGTTTGTTAGTACACATATCTTGACAAGAAAATTAAAAAAACTCAAAAATTTAACATTTTCTTGTGTTTGTTAATACACACATTTTGGCAAGAAATTAAAAAAAACTCAAAATTTTAACATTTTTTGTGTGTGTGCTAGTACACATATCTTGACAAGAAAATTACAAAAACTCAAAAATTAACATTTTCTTGTGTGTGTTAATACACACATCTTGGCAAGAAAATTGAGAAACTCGAAAATTTAAAATTTTTTTGTGTGTGTGGTAGCACACATATATTCACAAGAAAATTAAAAAATAACTCAAAAATTTAACATTTTCTTGTGTGTGTGTCATAGTACACATATATTCACAAGAAAATTAAAAAAAAACTCATAAATTTAATATTTTCTTGTGTGTGTTAAGTACACACATATTGGCAAGAAAATTAAAAAAGCTCGAAAATTTAACATATTTTTGTGTGTGTGTGTGTGTGTGTTAATACACATATCTTAACAAAAAAATGAAAAAAAAACTCGAAAATATAAGATTTTCTTGTGTGAGTGTTATTACATACATCACGACAAAAAAATTGAAAAAACTCGCAAATTTAACATTTTTTGTATGTGTGTTAGTATACATATCTTGATAAAAAAATTAAAAAAATTCAAAAATTTAACATTTTCTTTTGTGTGTTAAGTACACACATATTGGCAAGAAAATTAAAATACTCGAAAATTTAATATTTTTTGTGTGTGTGATAGTACACATATATTCACAAGAAAATTAAAAAAAAAAACTCAAAAATTTAACATTTTCTTGTGTGTGTTAATGCACACATCTTGGCAAGAAAATTAAAAAACTTGAAAATTTAACATTTTGTGAGTGTTTGATAGTACATATATACTCACAAGAAAATTAAAAAAAAAACTCAAAAATTTAACATTTTCTTGTGTGTTAATACATACATCTTGGCAAAAAAATTTAAAAACTCCAAAATTTAACATTTTGTGTGTGTGTGTGTGTTAGTACACATATCTTGACAAGAAAATTAAAAAAACTTAAAATTTTAATATTTTCTTGTGTGTGTTAATACACACATTTTGGCAAGAAAATTAAAAAACTAAAAGTTTTAACATTTTTTGTGTGTGTGTTAGTAGACATATCTTGACAAAAAAATTAAAAAAACTCAAAAATTTAACGTTTTTTTGTCTGTGTCAATACACACATCTTGGGAAAAAAATTAAAAAACCCAAAAATTTAAAACAATTTTTGTATGTGTTGTAGTACACATATATTCACAAGAAAATTAAAAAAAAACAGAAAAAATAAACTTTTTCTTATGTGTGTTAATACACACAACTTGGCAAGAATATTAAAAAACTCGAAATTTTACATTTTTTGTGTGTGAGTTAATACACATATCTTGACAAAAAAATATTAAAAAAAAATATAAGATTTTCTTGTGTGTGTTAATACACATATCAAGGCAATAAATATTGAAAAACTCGCAAATTTAACATTTTTTTGTTTCTCAATACACATATCTTGACAAAAAATTCAAAAACTCGAAAATTTAACATTTTCATGTGGTGTGTTAATACACATATCTTGACAAGAAAATAAAAAAAAAATTAAAAATTAAACATTTTCTTGTCTGTGTGTTAATATACATTTCTTGACAAGTAAATTAAAAAAAAAACTCTAAAGTTTAACATTTTCTTGTGTGTGTGTTAATACACACATTTTGCAAAGCAAATTAAAAATATGAAAATTTGACATTTTGTGTGTGTGTGTGTTAATACACATATCTTGACAAGAAAGTAAAAAAAAAACTTGAAAATATAAGATTTTCTTATGTG